ATAAACTATAAAATAGAAAAAAATTGTGTATAACTCAGAGATTGATAAAATCTGCTATAATACTGGAAATTCTGTATCACCAATTACTGATAAAAAAATAAAAAAAAATTTGAACCTAATCTATATCAAAGTAATAAATGCAAAAAGTAATAAATATTTGACATAAAAAATATCATGTTAGAAATTAAAATTATTACATTATAAATAACTACTTAAGATGTTCTTCCGTGGTAGGTTGCGTTCATTTGATTTTTTTTAATATTGTCGTTAAGATTATGAATCCTTTTTTTAATTTTACATTTTCCAACTACAGGAGGTCTTCCAGATGAAACCTTTCTTGAACCTCTAGTTAACCCTTGTCTCCTTCTAGAAATAGCAGTCGGTTGGACTTTTATTTGGCCTCTTTTTTTATTAATCAACATAAGATTTTTATTAATGTTTACAATAAATGATGTAAGTTGTTGAGGATTTTTTATCAATTTTAATTTGGTTGCAAATTTTTCACGAATTTCTAGTGGTACATGTATTAAATAGTCTTCTAGTCTATTAAATTCATTTTTGATGTTCTTTGATACAGTATTATTCCTATCGGTTTCATCACTTAAGTTAGGAACATCTGTTAAGTTTGAACTCTCTTCTATGGGTGCACTATTTTTTTCTTTCAGGTCATTAATTGGAATAGGATGATCAGTATTAGTGGATATTGATTTACTTTCTTTAAGAGCACAAAACCAGTCACTAGAAGGACATTTTTCTCCCAGAGCCAACTTCCCAAGTAGATGTCGCTCCTCAGATGTTACAGGTGGTGCATTAGGAAAGGCTAAATTATAATTTTTATGTAGCCATGCCTGATGTTTACAAAAAGCTCCTACAACTCCAACAAAACAATTACAAACTCCAATACTTATGTTGACTGTGTACTTAACATCATCTTTTGTTGAACTAGGTATTATGAATAATCCGTTACCTAGATTTTGAATATCTTTCAAAGTTATATTAGACATTTTTTTGTACAATTCAATATATTTTCTTTGGATTTCATCTTTACGAACATGTGCATGATCTAATAATCTAGTGATATAGTACTCTTCCCATACTTTTGAAACTGACTCAACTAAAGCTGTAACATTATAAGCTTTAGTTCTACATAAAACTATTTCTTTTAAAACCCTTATTGATGCTTCAGCATAATTGTTAGTGTTATTACCACGAGTTAAAATATCTAAACGATAAAATTTAACCCATTCTGTTTTTCGTTTGTAAAAAATTTCAAAACGTTTTACAAATTTTGGAAAATCATTTGACAGTTTTTTAATATTAAATACAGCTTCCTCCAAGTTCTTCTCACTGTCTGCATACA